GTAAGTTCAAGTGTCCAGCAGTTTATATCAGGAATAGAAGGGGACCCAGGACAGACCCTTGTGGTACTCCACTTCCAATTTTCAAAACTGAAGACCTACTGCCGGATACAACAACCGACTGCTGTCGATCCTCCAGATACGACCGAAACCATGCAAGCGAAGAGCCTCTAAATCCATACATTTCAAGGTAAACCCTATTTAAAAAGTCAAAAATAGCATCGTGAGTTCCTAGGGAGCTCCGAAATCCAAATTGCCCTGACGAGATAAGACTGTATGAACGAAGAAAACACCATACTCTGTTTTTAACGATCTTTTCAATAACCTTAGATAAGGTCGAAAGCAAGGAAATTGGACGATAATTAGAAGGATCCCGACAATCTCCACCCTTATGCAGAGGAATCACTCTTGCAGATTTCAGGCATGAAGGAAAATTACCTGCGCTTCACGAACCATCAATACCCAATGCTAAGACCTCAAATGCATCATCAGGTAAGGCTCGGAGTATTTCACATGATATTTCATCATCACCACATGACTTTTTATTTTTAATATCATCAAGAGCCTCATAGATTTCACGCTTCAGCACAAGGGTAAAGCAAAAGGAATTTGGAACAGATAAGTGTGATAAATAGTCCAGAGGGTCCCCTGTAATAGGCATGTTGTCAGTTAAACTACGAGCTATATTACAATAGAAACAATTCAATGTATTGGGATCAATATTAATTTCCTGGCCATTGCATTGTTTGGATCGATTACATACCTCACCAATAATAGTCCAGGACTCTTTTTGCTTATTTTTATCTTTCAATAATCTGTTGCCGTAGTGAAGTTCCTTAGCTGCTTTCACTAGTCGACGATAAAGATTACGATATCTATTGCAATAAGATATAAAATTGTCATTACTGGGAAAAAACTTTTTGATATTATTGAGACAGAGCAAGTTTCCAGAGGACACCCTTAAACCCTGTGTGAGCCAAGGTTTTTTTTTCCTTGTTTTATGTTTAATCCACCTCAACGGAAATGCTCTTTCAAAAACGCTCAGCAGTACAGAGTGAAACAATAGCAGAGGTTCTGGAGACTGCCCAATACCCAACCAGTTAACATCGCGACATTGTTGACGAAATTCAAGGAAATTCCTATTACTGAATATTCTTCCCCTTCGCCGTTGATTCCTGCTTCTGATTTTGAAATCATTAAAAACAGTAAGAACTGCCTCATGATCAGAGAGACCCGCACCGACAACCAAACAAGATTTAACATCACAATTTGAACACACATAATTAATAATACTTGACGAACCATTGCAAATACGCGTGGATAAAGTAACATGCATCATTAGACCATGAGATTCAAAAATATTGTCAAGCATGATCATTAAAATTTACATTGAAGTCGCCAGCAATTATAACCTTGGATGAAGACGAGATTTGGGACAGCAGTCGGTCGAGTTCATCCAAAAAATCCCTAGCATTAGCAGCGGGCGAGCGGTAGACACACACTATATATAGGTTGTGTTTATTACTGTAGATAACAGAGAATTCGAAAACTTTCTCCTGAATCAGACTATCAAATCTATGACAGGACACAAAACACTGGTCAAACCCTGAAGATTCCTTAGCAAAAATCAACGTCCCGCCATGCATAAAACGTTCCCTACAGAAAATGGAAATTGGAACATAGCTCAGTAAATGAAAACACTCGTCGGGTCTTAACCAGTGCTCAGTAACTAAAACTAAACTAGGAAAATCAATACTTTCCAAAAACGCATAAAAGTCGTCACACTTATTTCTTAAAGACTGAACATTTAAAAGCAACACTGACAAATCAGAACCAGATTCACAACTAGTAGCACCATTAGTCAACCTTTTCTCAGTAGGTAAAGTACTCATAAAAAAATATCTGGCTGTTCCGAATCATTATTCTGCACACTAGTTTCTATATTATCAGGAGAAATTATATGTACCTATAATACCAGGCTGTTCCAGATCGTTATCCTGTCCATTCGTTTCCCTAACAGCAGAACTAACTATATCTATAGGAGGCGTGGCTGATATGTCCAAATATATCAGTTTAGTGCAGGTATTGATATGAAAATTATTAACGAACATTTTTAAAAAATAACATAATCTGGACATACCACCACGATTCAAGTAAGGAGAGAAATTTACAAAATGTTTCTGTAAAAAGTTGTTTGACAAGTCTAAAAAATCTATGCACCTTGAAAATTGTTTTAAGTTTTTCGTGACCCTTGACAGCTTATCGTTAACATTCTGTATTCTGTAAGAGAGGTCAGAATAGTTATTTGTGCAACCAGTTGGGAAAAGCACTATTTTTCTTAACAAACTGATTTCTGCGGAACGAGCGAAGCGAGTTCCGCAAAAGGAAGAGAGTTACGAAAAATAGTATTTCCCAACGTGTTACACACAATATTTTTTCTAATTTTGACCATGTAATCCTGTTTAATTCAAGTTAAAAATATAAACAACATACTTTGAATAATTATGTCTAATTGTCAAGCGTCAGGTGAGTTCAGAGATGTTTATTTGTTAAGTATTTCGTTTTCCGTTGCTACAGAAGCAATAGTGTCAAGCATAGAGGTATCAAGTCTGCGTCTCTAATTTTTGAAAAAGTAAAAAATTTTAATTAATATTCTTATACCTATAAACCATTCAAACTTTATAGAGTAAAAGAATAATTATTATTAGATTCTAATGTCCATCAATTCAGGAAGCGACGTACCCAGTGACATTGAGGAGTCGGCTCAATCTGCTTTATCTACAATAAATTATTCCTAAGAAGTCAAAAAGCAAATATGATGGGGCCCTATGTCAAATTTAGTTTATGGTCAAATTAAATTTCCATATGTACCTACAAAGAATATAATAACAATAACAATACTTCAAGTAGTTTAGCGTTAAAATTATCACAAATTTTATTTCTGTATTTTTCGCAACTGATGGTGAAATTTATATTTCCTACGAGCGTGCGCAAAGTAGTACTTTTCCGCACGCATTTCAGTACTCAAAGTTACACTTTTCCGCACTCAGTGCGGATACAGGCCTTATCCGCACTGAGTGCCGAAAAGTAAAAATAATTGTCAAGCAACAATAAGTGTACCTGTCGACTTTGACATATGATGACAAGTTTTTCTCTGTTTCTTTATCAGCCTACATCTATACGAACACCGAATATAATTAACTTTGACATATTGTTAGATTTGTTCTCTATTTATATGCAAGAATCTACAAACTTTCTCATCAAATTTAAACGCTTTAAGATGAACAGCTCTGACGAGGATTTTTTAATTTATTTTTTTTTGTTACGTAATTTTTTGATAAATGCGTAGGTTCGCTCCAAGTTAATTAAAAATAATTGAACAAATTATCGTTTTTTTTTTTTAATTTTTGTTGTTACCTACTTGATATGAAGCTCGTAGGAAAAATTTTGTTCCTAACACGTGCGCAAAGTGTCTTTTCCGCACGCAAACACTTATCCGAACTCCGCTTCGCGTCGTTCGTATAACTGTGTTTGCGTGCGGAAAAGTAACACTTTGCGCACTTGTTAGGAAAATAACTATTTCCTACAGCCGTGCGGAAAAATCGATTTTCCCTACTGATATGCGTGCGGAAAATGAGTTTTCCCGCACGGTGTGGTAAAACTTTTTTTTTTGACATCAGTGTGGAAAAACTAAAATAGCTATTTCATCACCAGTTGCGAAAAATTTTACTTTTCGTAACTGGTGATGAAAAGTAAAACATTTTATAACGTCAACGAGTTTTGAAAAGTGTCACTTTAAATGTCAAAATTAGAAAAAAATCTTTTCTACATGGTAAGTTACAAATACTTAATCAAATTCGTGTGAAAACATTTATTTGCCAACAATGTAATATCACCCAATCCAATATTGCTGTCATTAATTCCTGCAAGAATAACTACATAATCCTTGGAAGATAAATTGTTCACATAACAATCGGCACTAGAAACCGAAACATGATAAAATACTCAAGGTACTTAACACATGAAATGGATCATTGACTGTCTTGACTGAACCTGCACAAAAGTTGATTATTTATGCACTATAGGTTTGGTTAATTTTTAATTTAGTTTAATTCAAGTTAGAAGTTTAATGATTTCACCAAAATGAATTCCAATTTTGTTTTTTTCAATTTGGCTTAAAGTTATTTTTCAATTTTAAGGTATCAAGCAGGTAGTTATTTTCATGATATAAAAATGGTGCAAACCTCAATTAAAACTATATTGGTCTATGAAGATTATATCGAATATCAGACAGTAAATAAAATGAGTAATAGATCATAGATCAACATACATATTATCATTTAACAAATAAACAGTTCATTCAGCTTGTTGTGTTTGACAGTAATGTACTGACATGTTGCTGCATGCTTTTTATCGTTTTTGTTTGAAAATACGCCTTTTTCTTCAAATGATCCCATTAGAATAAATCCATAATAAATTTATTATTCACATTATAAGAAACAAGGACTAATCGTACTTTCAAGAGATTTTCAAAATATGCACTTGATTAGACAAATAAAAATTATTGGAATTATTGGACTGAATTTTGATCACAAATTTTTTCTTTTAAGTACCTACCTAATTACTTTGTTTATGCAACGGAAATGAGTATACCCCTATGAGTATTTTGGTTCAAAATTCAACAATTATTAATTCCAATCAGAACACTTTAGATTAGAAGATTTAAAGTTTGAAAAAAGGCAAAAACTGATATTTGGGTATTTCGAAAAAGTTTTGAATGACCGACTTGGAGCCTTATCAAAAATAATCGTGCTGTTGCTACCTGTTGCCGATTGTTCTTTTCTGCTTTACCAAATCACACCTGATTTTTGAATTTCTAATTATTGTTTACTGTATAGTGCTACGATAATTTGTAATGAAAATTAGAGGGTAAATAAATATATTAGGATGTTTACCTAAATAATAATTCACTTAGCATTAATACTAGTTTTTTTTCTATTTAGATTGACAACTATGCCCCAGGATTTATTGACAATGCACAAGGGCTTTTCAAAGACACATTTGCCAAAAGCATAAACTATTACCACACTAGTGTCAACTATTTACAAAAGGAGGTGTTTGTGTAAGTATTAAAATAAATATTATTGCAATGAGTTTTGATAGCGGGTTTAAGACTATCAGACTCTCGAGTCTACAAGTTTAAATTGAATGTTAGAGGACACATTTTCAACACACTTTGACAACTTTTTGCACCTTTTAAATGGCCAAAACAAACAAAATCAATTAAAATTCCTGCAATAAGGTACTTGCATACTGAGTTTATTACAAACTGTAGGAAATCGAAAAAAAATCGTTACTTTTTTTTTATTTTGCCCAAATATGATTATTCCGGAAGTTATTCAAATATTAAGTTTTGTATACCGGGTGACCACGAGATTACTGACCAAGCTCTAGTTCAGGCATGAATATCAATATCGATTTCAAGTTTTGAGGATGTATATTATTGATATCGATGCAGAATTTCGCTATAAAAACAATCGACTATCGCTTTTGGTTTGACCTCAAGTGCCATCAACTTCTTTATTTCAACTAGATCACCCCCTATATTATTACATTTTTGGATTCTGTGAGAAATTCTAAGCATATTTTATGTATAATATCCTATACCTAACTTTAAGAGTTTTCAAGAAAATCGCGATTGAAAATGTCAAAAAATAATTTTTATTTTAGTTTTGACAGCAAACAATGGAAAGAAGGTTGAAGCTTTTACGATATTTTTAACTCATTTTAGAAGCACTAAAGGGTCCCACAACAAAAATAAAACTTCCGGTTCAATCGAAGGTTTTCGGTCGATCTACTTATGAGGTTATGTTACTGCAATAATTTCAATGGTATACCATACTTAGAACTAAAAATTCGTATTCTAAGAACAATTTTGAATCTTTTTTGTGTACGCTTTCCTATACCTAAAGTCTACTGTTTTTGAGATATTTGACACTTGATGTAAGGATGTCTTTGGAACAATGAATACCAAAAACAGTATTAACAGCATTAATTGTAATCCTTTTTATAAGTTTATTTAAATAGATCACACAGAATGCAGTTTAAAAGATAAGTCTCATTTGTTGTGTTCCTTGAATCCCGATTTGTACTGTTACCCAAAGGTCGCAAATAGTCCAAAAAGTTAGGGACGCAAACGTGAACAATACAAACGTGAACAATACTGTAAAATATCTCAAAAACAGTAGACTTTAGGTATAGGAAAGCGTATACAAAAAAGATTCAAAATTGTTTCTAGAATACGAATTTTCAGTTCTAACTATGGGATACCATTGAAATTATTGCAGTAACATAACCTCAAAAGTAGACCGACCGAAAACCTTCGATTGAACCGGAACTGATATTTTTGTGGTGGGACCCTTTAGTGCTTCTAAAATGAGTTAAAAATATCGTAAAAGCTTCAACCTTCTTTCCATTGTTTGTTGTCAAAACTAAAATAAAAATTATTTTTTGACATTTTCAATCGCGATTTTCTTGAAAACTGTTTAAGTTAGGTATAGGATATTATACATAAAATATGATTAGAATTTCTCATAGAATCCAAAAATGTAATAATATAGGGGGTGATCTAGTTGAAATAAAGAAGTTGATGGCACTTGAGGTCAAACCAAAAGCGATAGTCGATTGTTTTTATAGCGAAATTCTGCATCGATATCAATAATATACATCCTCAAAACTTGAAATCGATATTGATATTCATTCCTGAACTAGAGCTTGGTCAGTAATCTCGTGGTCACCCGGTATATAGATATACTGAGCATGTGCAACGTCACTTATTTATTAGATAAGTGACGTCATTGGCAGATTTCATAGTGTTGTATCTCCGTTAATTTTTGACTAAGAAGCAAAAGAAAAAACACGTGTTGACTTATTTTTCATGGACTATCGAAATCAGCAATAAAAAAAATTGATGCAAGGAGCCTATTAAGGAACTTTAACGAGCAAAAAGCTATCAATTCGCGTAACCTTGAAATAATATAACTTATTGATAGTACATAAATACTTCTAACACAAATAATTAGTTAAATAAGAGCTTGACAAAAGTTGATTGTTAGAATTTATTATCATGTTCCACAAGTTGCAAACTCCCAGAATATTTGTCTACATTTCTGTACATACTCAGTATTTATATTGTACACTGTACACTCAAGTCAAGGAGCCCTTCTGTATGCGGGTTTGAATATATTAGAGCCCTTAGCTGGGTGTTAAAAACAATGTGTATTATGCCAAAATGACTAAAACAAAATAATTTTCTTCTATTTTAATGTTTGTGATGACATTTAATCATTTGTTGTGAAAGATCCAAAAAATAAAAAAAAGGATCTTTCTCACCTCTTTCTTATTATTTATAACAACCAATCTAGGATCTCGTATGTGAGTAGATATTATGCATGTTGCTAAATAATAATCACTCAAAAAAGTAAATATCTATAACAAATGAATATTTTTCTGTTGTTATAAAGACATTAGTTCCATAAATAGGTACACGATTAAAAACTTAAATTTCCAGTTTCAAAATAAACCTATATCAGCAGACAAGGTTAATAAATATATAAATTAACTAAGTTCAGTAAACATGTGCATATTTTAGTTTGTGGGAATTTGAATTTAATCTTGTCGTGTTTGATAAAACTGATGGTTTTATTTTTTATAAATATATGTGATATCTAAAATATTGTCTACATTTAAAAATGTTTATGTGCTTCCTTGCACTAAAACAATATTATAATAGCATTTACTGCTTAACAAGGGTTCACAATGTTATAAAAATACTTGAGATAAGTTTAATTGCAATGAACTTATTTTGCTGATTATGGCAAAGTATTTAAATATGTTTAATTAGGTAATCTCTAACTTTAAATATATCGAATGGCGTTCCTCGAGAGTCCGTTTACCGTTTTTTTTTCGGATTTGAAAAAAAAAACATTTAAAAAAGAAACAGAAAAAAAACGTTTTTTTTTGTTTTTTTTTCGAAGAAGAAAATTAACCCACTCGCTAAGGCTCGTGGGTTAAACTTTCTTCTCATGAATAAACATTCATTTAACTCACTTGGCGTATAAATAACTATTATTTCGTCGAGCTCCTTCATGTGGGTTTTCAGTTTTTCCTTAAAAACCCTGTGCTGCTCCTCCAACGAATCCTTTGAAGTATCGATTTCTGCCTCTTTCATTCCTTGCATTAATTCGCCTGAAATTTCAGTCTGGGATTCCTCATTTTGATTCAAAATAAGCTTTATTGTCGAAATTCCTTCACAAAATCATTGACAAAGCAACTTAACTAGCTAGCATAATAAATAGGTTCCTAACTTAAATCGAAGTCATACCCTTAAAACTATAAAGAAAAATATTTTGAAACTTTCGTGTTGAAAGCAAAACAAAAGAAAGGTAAAAAAAATATTAAATCAAGAAGGAGGCATTTTTTGGCAAAGAAGTGCGAAGGATCACTTAGAAAACTGTTTATCCCTCGGTTTATCTATAACTATGATATTTTAGATTATTGGCATAGGTATTACAGTAAAAAGCACCTCATTTATGTGAGAGAAAAAGCTTTATCTCTGACTGTGGTTATTGGTCTATAGTAGGTGGATTTTATAGTCAATGGATGAAACATTGTTTGTGACTTGCTCGCTCAGATATTTATATACTCGCACAGCACCTGGTTGATTCAAGTGATTTTACTGATGTCTTCATTTGGGGAGACTTTCATCTTCCTAATATTGTGTGGAAAAAGGGTGAGACTGGGTCAGCTCCATCTGAGATATTGGGAAAGGGGGCGTTGGCTATTGCTGACAGTGTGGCCTGGATGTCCCAAATGTGTATGGAAACGTCTTGGACTTGCTGTTTTGTAATCACCCAATTGTAAATGTCATAACCTGTTCTCAGCCTTTGTTAAAATTGGATATGCCACATGCTGCTTAGTGTTGTTTTAAATTCCTCCAATTGGAAGTGCCTCTTTCATGTGACTATTTTTATCTTAACTTTAAGTTGGCTGATTTTAATCAAATAAGTTTTAACTTGTCATGTGTTGACTGGAGTATTGTTTCTGAATGTACTGATGTCAATGTAGTGGTTTCATTGTTTTATGATGTAATGGAGGAGATCATTGAGCAATTTACTCCTTCTTGTCAAGATTTAACTCACCTACATTTCCAAAATGGATGAATTCTGAATTAAAAACTATGATAATTCAAAAGAAAATGGCGCATAAGACTTATAAAATGTCAAAAAATAATGCAAACTAATTAAAATTTGCAGACCTAAGATCACAATGCTGTATTCTATCTCGAGCATCACATAGTAATTTTATAGAGACTCTTGATATCCAACGTCATGATAAAAAATAATTGGAATTGGAAATTTATTAATGCAAAAAAGGGAGATCTAGAATATCCTAAAGGACCACGCATAATTTACATTAAAAAGTGGTTTCGGTGAAATTGCTTGAATTTTTGATATGTTGTACCTCTAACCCTCTTGTTTGATTTTCCAAAAAAAAATAGGAGGGTCGATTGGATGGTTTCGCCGCTACAAGGAAAATAAGGCGCCCGTGCAATTCAAATAGGACCATCGTATTACGATTACCTGTAAGGTAATGATTACAGGTAGTACCGGTTATAGGTAATATTATAATAATGGATAAGGTGACTATTATAGTAGGTGCCAGTATTTATTAAGATGTTGCCAATTTTGTCACTCCGTACTCCGTTGTCTTCTGGTTCCCTGAAGAGCGGCTAAGTATCGCAAAATTTTGACACAAATAGTAATTACTATTTTGAAATGTGGTAACTATTTGACAAAAAAATTACATGGTTTGTTGTTCCTAATTCCAAAAAAAAAAAAAGTTCTTTGTATTCTGTTGGCGTAAAGATATTAGTTTTCTTTCAATTGCTCTCCTGAAAACGTGTGAATAACGCGATAGGACCGACGAAATGATGCAAGTCGCTTCTGTATTAATTACAAATGCTCAATTCTCGAAGAATTTCATATATTAGCCAATTATCCTACTTGCTTGCACCTGAACGTGTTAAAACAAACATCCAACGTTACATGTTTAGTATATGAT